TGCAGTCAGCCAAAACACCTGAGGCTGATTGCAGAAGGTGCATATAAGGAATGACCAGGCCTGTGATCTGGGCCTTGGTGTATGTTTCCCAAGAGCCCCTGTACCTGCATCCTGTCTGCTTCCTGTCTGATCCTGCTTGATCCCTGACTCTGATTGAACTTCGCCTGTCCTGACCGCTGCTATTCCTGACCACTCTCCAGTCTGCTCCTTTGTACCTTGTCTGCCTGATTGTTCCTGACCCGGCCCGTCTGACTACGCTCTGCCTGCTCCTTTGTACCTTGTCTGCCCGTTTGCTACCGACCCGGCCTGCCCGACTATGCTTAGTATTGTTCTTTTGTTATCTGTTGGGGGTTTTGGTTTGGTTTGTTTGCACTGTGTTTATGTTTAGTCTTGCACTGTGTTTATGTATTGTTTAGTCTTAAATAAATTATATTGTTTATACTATATCTGAAGCCTGCGTTTCCCTGTGTCAGTCCACACACCTCTGGTCATACCCGGAGCCCTGACAGGTAGTGGTAGCAGTGTGAAGGGTTAATTGCGTAATTTACCTGACCCAGTAACAATCGCTCTCAGGCTGTTGGTACCTAGATTGGGGTCCAGTGAGCTGGAAAATCTTTGTGCAGGGTGCAGCAGAGAGTGGCATTGTTACACAAGTGGCAGCGCAGTTTTAGATTGGCTAGTCCTTCGATCGCAAGTTGGTGGGAAGTGCCAGGGTCTGACGCCACGTCCGTCACATATATAGGCTCAAAATGCCCCCTTTCTGAACCTCAGAAACATCTGCTTTCAAAAGCTGTTCGTGTGGTAACGTCAACGGTATTGCTTTGCAAGCAGCGAATGAAATGGAGGATTTCCTGCAGACGGTAAAGTTCAGTTGCGGGCATCCCAAGCTGTTGTGAGAAATACGTAGTGGGATGTATCCCCCTATGGTCCAGGAAGTGTCCCACACGATACAAGTCTTTATTTATCCACCATTGGAATTCCCATGGGTGACCAGGGAAATACGGGGTTGCCAAATATTGGCGCTACAGAAGAATGGGGGGAGTGAAGAGCCACCTGTTTGTGGGTAGAATCCCAGAGATTCAATGAGTGGGGCAGCGTGGGGCAGAGAATAGACCTCCTATTCTTAGGGGATCCACAATAAAGTATCGATGGGGAGAGGTGCACAGCGTGTTCCTGTGCAATTCATATAAGGGTATAGTGTAAACCAGCCCTTAATATATTGATCTATAGGGAGGCTGAATATTGAGAAGACTGGGAGAGAAGTTTAGATTACCATTCGCTGTTATTTTTAAGGATCCATTTTGTTATACCAAGAGAAGGAACAACAAGGACTGTTGATCAGCTGACCTACCTGGAATGGAATGATGTGCAGTTTTAATTTGATTATTAGGTAAGAGTCTGCATAAGTGGTGGGTGGAGCACTGATGTTGGTATTTTCACATGTGGGCACAATATAGTCATGTTTGATTCCATTTATTTACAAAATAATGCACTATATGAGTTTCTTTTGAGTTTCACATGATGATGAGTTGAAGAAATTTGATAATCAAAGGTATGCTGTCCTAACAACAGCTAGCTAACAAAACTGACAGAAGCAGCGTTGTTTCATTCCAAAACTGAATTTACTTCTGTGAATCATTCTGTAAAACTGCAATACAAACACAGAAAATTAAGTTACAATATGCTTGTAAACATGTCTCTCACAAATGCATACATTGAACAAACAGCTGCAATTTTTCTTGGTCTACCTGACCTTGGCTTGGTATCAAGAGATCCCTGAACTTTCCACTTAGGTGATTTAACAGTACTGATTGCCATATTCAAGGCTTTGGACATCTTTTTATGTCCTTTTTCATTTTTATAAAGTTCCATTACCTTGTTACGCAGGACTTTTGACAGTTCTTTTCTGATCCCCATGGCTCAGTATCTAGCCTAGTCAGTGCTTCCACGTCAAACTCATTGACTATTTATACACTGACACTAATTGCAATTTAAAAAGCCACAGATGTGGGATATTAACCTCTAATTGGCATTTTAACCCATGTGTGTCACCTTGTGTGTCTGTACCAAGGCCAAACACTTCAGGGTATGTAAACTTTTTATCATGGCCATTTGGGTGATTTTTGTTATCAATATGATTTAAAAAGGAGCCAAACAACTATTTGATAATAAATGGCTTCATATGATCATCATCCTTCAATAAAAGAGCATTTTTTTGCATGACCAGTTTTATTTTCAATATCAATGCCAAAATTTCACAATTTCTGCCAGGGTATGTAAACTTTTGAGCACAACTGTATGTGACTTTAAAAAACACAATGAAAGAACTTACAGTTATATGTGTATCAAAGGGAGATTGGAGGAGACCTTTACTGGTGTCCTTCTAGAAGCTAAAAAGGCTGCAGTGGTTTATGACAAATCTTTATAACAAACATTAGAAACTTCCTGTTCTTTATTCATATAGGTTCAATTGCAGTGAAAGCCCAATAGATGGCTCCCTACTCAACACAATGATGATATACAGAACAAAAGGTGAATAAAGGAGGAGACACACAGTTGGTGATTTTGACAGTTTATTGGACCCATTTGGCATATGTGGATTGAAAATCTGGTAAGAGGCTTGGAAAGCCTCTGGAAAGCCTTGGAAAGACAGTAAATCTAGTAAAGATGGTTAATTTTTAGGATTTCCGGAGAGAGAGGTAGCAGAGGAACTGGCTCAGTTAAAGATTAATAAAGCAATGGGCCCTGATGGTATTCATCCCAGAGTTCTAAGACAACAGTGAGTTATAGTAGTTGTTGGATCATTAACAGATCTTTTTTATCAATCTCTTCTAACAAGCGAACTTCCCCATGACTGGCAGACAGCCAATACTGTACCTATCCACAAGAAGGACAGCAAGGTAGAAGCTGGCAATTACAGGCCAGTGAGTTTACAACGGTTGTAGTCAGGTTAATGGAATCACTCCTGAAAAGAAGGATCAATGATCACTTAAAAACACACAATTTGCTGGATACAACGCAGCATGACTTTACTGAGGGCAGATCATGCCAAATTTTTTTACCGTATTACCAATGTTTTGGTCCAGGGTGGTGCTGTGGACATAGCATATCTTGATTTCAGCAAGGCATTTGATACAGTTCCACATAATGGACTAATACAACATTTGTACAAGCTAGGACTTAGCACTTGTGTGGTTCAGTGGATATGCAGCTGGCTAAAGGATAGATACCAAAGTTTGGTTGTAAATGGAGTTCACTCGGAAAAGAGACCAGTCACTAGTGGTGTCCCACAGGGCTCTGTATTAGGTCCTGTTCTATTTAATCTATATGTAAGTGATATAACTAAAGGGTTTTTTGTAAGGTATGTCTTTTTGCTGATGACACAAGGGTGTGCAATAGGGTCGATATCCCTGGAGGTGTTTGTAACATGGAACATGATTTGGCATTGCTGGAATATTGGTCAAAAAAGTGGAAACTGCAATTTAATGTTTCTAAATGTAAAATAATGCACCTAGGGGAAAAATAATAACTTGAGAGAGTACAACATTGGGGCACATTGTTGGTCAGCACCAGGGGCGGACTGACAACTCATGGGGCCCCCGGGCAATAGGGGATCATGGGGCCCCGGTGTCCTTGCCCAAACTAAAAAAAAAGCCTATGAAAAAGGTACCAGGGGTATCTCATGGGGCCCCCTACTGACCCCGGGCCCTCGGGCGGTGCCCGAGTTTCCAAATGGTCAGTCTGCCCCTGGTCAGCACTACACAGAAATAGGAATTGGGGAAACTTATTTCAGATGATTGCAAATGAGCTAGCAGTGTGACCAGGCAGTGGGAAAAGTGGATAGAATTCTAGGATGCACCACTAGAGGGATCAACAACAGGAGGAAGAAGGTCCTGATTCCCCTTATAGATCTTTAGTTAGACCTCAATTAGAATCCTGTGTCCAGTTCTGGAGACTCACTTACAAGCAGGGTGGGTAAAAATCAATGATTTACGAAAAAAAAATTGGATTTTTTAAAATTTAAATCAGATTTTTTTTTTATTTTGATCAAATTTATTTTAATAATATGCTTTTGGAGTAAAAATCCACCTAAAGATATTTTTCTATTTAGGATATATTAGTAATTTAGTTGATTCAGCATGAGATGGAGCTTAGTTAAGTAGCAAGAGGCTGTATATTCTGCAACATTTACATTTTTGGTAAACTCATTCACTGAATCCAGGCTCTGCTGCGCTGAGATAACATGCACTGCATTGATACATTCACACAATGTCACAGTAACCATGAGAAAAAACATGAAATAAAAGAATTTGAGTCGTTCTCCAGCTGTGTGATTAACCTATTAACCTAAAATCAGTTCTGATATCGCTGTTTTACTAACCTGACAGCCCATTATCCTAAAAAGGAAACCTTCATTTGGTTTGCAAATATTAAAGATTCAAACTATCAGCAAGAATGAGTTGAATTCCTTATATTTAAAGAGCACCTGTCATTTTAGATATATCATGACAGCGCCTGTTAGCAGGTATCCACTCCCCTGCTGCCGCCACGTCCCTCACCTTATTGTGTCACTGCCACAGCACCAGCCATCCCATTAGAGTGAATGGGACTGTCGGTGAGTCAACAGTGGGTCAGAGGAGGAACCGCTGCAGGACAGAGATGACAGTTACTCTTTAAAAATTAGGATTTAACCCCTAGCCTACAGGGCACTTATACCCCCTTCCTGCCCAGGCCAATTTCCAGCTTTCAGTGCTCTCACACTTTGAATGACAATTGCGCAGTCATGCAACACTGTACCCATATTAAATTTTTATCATTTTTTTGTGACAGAGCTTTATTTTGGTGGTATTTAATCTCCTCTGGGTTTTCTATTTTTTCTTAAACAAACCAAAAACCACTGAAAAGTTTTGAAAAAAAAAAGTTTTTTCTCCGTTTTTGTTATAAAATTTTGTAAATAAGTGATTTTTCTCCTTCACTGATGTAAATAAAAAAAGACTGCAGTGATGGGCACTGATAGGCTGCACTGATGGACACTGATAGGTGGCACTGATGGGCACTGATGAGGAGGCACTGCTAGGTGGCACTGATGGGCATTGACAGGCATCACTGATGGGCACTGAAAGGCAGCACTCATATATGGCACTGATAAGCGGCACTGATAGGTGGCACTGATAGGCGGCACTGACTGGCACTGTTAGGCGGCACTGATAGGCAGCACTGACGGGCACTGATAGGCAGCACTGACGCACACTGATAGGCGGCACTGACTGGCACTGATAAGTGGCACTGATTGGCAGCACTGATAGGTGGCACTGACTGGCATTGATAGGTGGCACTGACTGGCACTGATGGGCGACACTGAAAGGCAGCTCAGATGGGCACTGATATGTGGCACTGATGGGCACTGAAATGTGGCACTGATGGGCACTGGCAGGTGGCATGGATGAGCACTGAGAGCTGGCACTGATGGACACTGACAGGTGGTGCTGCTGGGGCTACACAGATCATCAGGGCACACTGATAATCGGAATACCGATTACCGGCTCTCCTCTCCTCACGAGCTGTCGGCGTGACAGCTCGTGGGGAGAGAAATGCCGATAACCGGCATTTCCCTGTTTACATGTGATCAGCTGTGATTGGACACAGCTGATCACTTGAACAAGCCGACATCTTTGGCTCTTTCCATGGATCGGTGATCCGCTGTGTCCGAGGGACACAGCGCACCGGCGATTGCCGCACGCTCCGGGAGCCATGCATTCGCGGATAGAATGGGAGGACGTCATATGACGTCCTCCCAGAACAAGAGAACCGCTTTGCGTCCGTCATATTACTATATGGCGGGCAGGCGGGAGGCGGTTAAATTGAGCCTTTTCACTAGTGATTTAAATTGGGATTTAAATCAACTTGATTTAAATCAAATACATCCTGCTTACAAGTCCAGAGATGGGTAACACAAACGGTGACAGGTGTGGGGGATAAAACATATTATATCATATATCATATGACTTCAGGAACATAATATGTACAGTCTGGGGGAAAAAAGGAAAAGGGGAGAAATGACTGAAACCTTTAAATACAACAAGGAGGGGAGTAAGGTTCAGGAGCGCAGGATTATCAATATGAAACCAAAATCAAGAATACTGGGACATGACCTCAAACTAACTGGAGGAAAGTTCAAAAGTAGTCATGGAAATTATTATTTTACTGAAAGAGAAGTTGATGCTGGGAATAAACTTCCAGTAGAGGCAGTGAGCCAGCCAACAGTAAATGCTTCAAACATGCTTGGGAAACACATAGATTTTGGGGAACCGGAAAAAATGGGCAGACTTGATGGCCAACTTGGTCTTTTCTCTGCCTTCGTTTTCCTATGTTTTCTATGTTTCGATGAAAGTCATCTGCAGGATAAGGCTCCATGTACACGGGACACTTCTGAATTATGGAAACTGACTGCTGGAAAATGTAGCTTAAAAAACGTCTGTTTAGCCGCGTTTGCATACTGTGTTTATGAGCGTTTTTTTAAAGATAACCTCAGGAGACCTTCCAAAATACCCAGAATGCACTGAAAAACAGTAAAAAAAAATAGAGAGAGTAGAAGCAGAGAGAGCAGTATTTGTTGAGATTAGCTGTCTTTTTTTTTCTTTTTTTTGTGGTGTTTGGATGTGTTCCAGCTCATTTCTGTACAGAAATTATTGCAGCAGTGTCTAATATATTTTCTTTCATGGAAACCTCAAAGTATGGTGTACCAGGTCCATTTGAGTACCAGGAAAATGCTTTGCATGCATTTTTCATGATGAAAAAAGGCTCTTTTCCAAACGCAAATGCTTATAAACGCAGTTAGCCACATTTACAAGAGTTTGGCGTTTGAAACGCTGATAAAATCTACTCCTGAAAGCAAGTTTGTTGCGTTCAAAAAAACGACAGTAAACTCAACAGCCTGTAAACGACTGTAAATGATATAGTGTACATGGACACATAGGAAAACATCAGGGAGAGTTCAGGGGCTGCTGGACAAAACGCAGAAAAGCTCCTAAACGTGAATTTATCAGCTGCAGTGTACATGGAGCCTAACACTCACCTTTCATAATTGCTCCTGAAGCACTGGACATTCTCTTGAATTACTGATCCCCCTAGGTAAGATGGCCACCTAAACTCTGGCAGGAATGTAATATCTAATTGTGGGCAGCACAGTGGCTAAATGGTTAGCACTTCCGCCTGGCAATACTAGGGTCATTGGTTTGAATCCCAACCACGGCACCACCTGCCTGGAATTTGCATGTTCTCCCTGTGCCTGCGTGGGTTTTCCTCTGGGTACTCCGGTTTCCTCCCACACTCCAAAGACATGCTGGTAGGTTAATTGGATCCTGTCTAAATTGGCCCTAGTATGTGCATGTATGAATGTGAGTTAGGCACCTTAGATTTTATGCCCCTTGAGGGTTAGGGACTGATGTGAATGCACAATATATATATGTAAAGCGCTGTGTAAGTACCTGAAATAAGTAAATAAAATAAACTATGGGTGCCATCTTTTGTACACATTTTCAGTCCCTAATAGCTCTGAAACCATAAAGTGTCTTTATAAAGTTTTGATCCTTCTAAGTCGTAACGCTGGCTCCTCCCTAGTATGTGTATGTATAAATGTGAGTTAGGGACTTTAGATTGTACACCCCTTGAGGGTTAGGGACTGATGTGAATGTACAATATATATGCAAAGCGCTGTGTAAATTGATGGCGTTATATAAGTACCTGAAATAAATAATCAGATACCTATCTTCCCTAGAGAGGAAGGAGCTATTCTCTAGCACACCTTTTCCCCTGTAGCACAGTGCCACCTACAGGACAGAAGGATGCCTGCACCACCACACTCTCCCGAAGACCATCATCTATGGACAGGAAATGACGGGAAGTTAAACTTTTTTTTTACTGTTGTCACCAGAACAGGAATAGGGGTGGTTTTACCCCTTCCCAACCCTAGAATCTCTGACCAAAGCTGAAACAACAACCTTTCAGCGTAGTATAGTGCAGGAAAGGAGTAGAACCCCTGACATCTGGTTATTTGTCTTGGTGAACATGATCACAGGCACAGAAAGTGACAGAAATATCTTTTAGGGCCGGTTCACACTATACAAATGCAGTCCAGATGCGTTCCGGATGCGTTTTTGCATGTGCATTTTTTACGCGTTCCAGTGCTTCCCCCCCTATTTTTCTTCCATTGAAATAGGGACATGTGCGTTCCAGTGCTCCCCCCCCCCCCCTATTTTTCTTCCATTGAAATAGGGACATGTGCGTTCCAGTGCTTCCCCCCCCCTATTTTTCTTCCATTGAAATAGGGACATGTGCGTTCCAGTGCGTTTTTGGTGCATTCCAGTGAGTCTCTGTTGCGTTTTACCACGTTCCAGTACAGTTCTGTGCAGGAAAAATGCAGCCGGTTCTACTTTTTTTTCTGCATCTGGAACGCACTGGAACTGCAAGCACTCATGTGAACTATGACACTGACAACCATATCACCTACTTTCTGTGCATTTTGGATGCAGAAGACAAGCAAGTGAATCCCATGTAGGTGATGGGGAATCTACCAATGGGGATTCTTCCAGTTCCAGAGGCAACTTCCCTCTCACTTCCTGTTTGTTTCTGGGACAGGAAGTAGATTTACCCCCCCAAACAGAAACAGCAAGTAAAAACCTGCCAGAGGATGAATCGTCTGGAGTTGTATACACTACAATGGACATATAATGGGTCCTGCGAGCCGAACCCCGGACTGCAGAACTAGGATCTCACACGCCACACGGCCCACTACAGGTGACTGAGAGTACTGCAGCTTCTAGTCCCAGTCACGTGGTGCAGAGCCGCAGTTACCCTGAGGGGGAGGGGCAAGCACAGCGAAGACTGCAGGTGAGGAACGGCGCACAGCGCGGATGGGCGGAGCGTGGGATGGGCGGGGTGTGGGGCCGGGCTGCGCGCTCCCGCTCCCGCTCCAGACAGCCGTGTGCTCGCAGTCCCGCAGACACAAAGCTCCGGCCGCCGGTGTGTAGAGCGCAGTGTGTACTACTCCACCCATCATCCGTGTCCAGAGCCCACCCCCTGCTCCCCCTGGCCCTCCCCCCCCACTCCACAGCCGCCACCGCCGCCATCTCATCCCAATGTTAGCTGCAAAGAAGCCGGAGTCCAGCGGGGGCGGCGGAGAGAACGGCGCCGAGTCTCAGCCCCCGGTGCCTTCATCGGCCTCATCCTCCTCCTCGTCGTCATCCTCCTCCTCGTCTTCCTCCTCCTCCGGGATCATGGCCTCCCCCGACACCGGGACCTCACTGGAGAGGACCCCCAGGAAGAAGGAGAGAGCCTCCCCCGGGGCCGAGCATGGGCCCCCCTCCGCTCCCGGGATCATGGCGGGGGGGGGAGGGGACGGGGGACAACCGGAGACCCCTGAGGGCCGCAGGACCAGCCGGAGGAAAAGGGCCAAGGTGAGGTCACCATACACACAACGATCGGGCACAGATCACATCCCTTCTACACTGGACGATCTGATTGTATGATGACCACACACTGTACAATCTCATTGTACCGTTTTCTGTATGATGGCCACACACACTGTACAATCTGTACCATATCCTGTATGATGGCCACAAACACCGTACAATCTGATTGTACCATCTTCTGTATGATGACCACACACCGTACAATCTGATTGTACCGTCTTCTGTATGATGACCACACACCGTACAATCTGATTGTACCGTCTTCTGTATGATGACCACACACCGTACAATCTGATTGTACCGTCTTCTGTATGATGACCACACACCGTACAATCTGATTGTACCGTCTTCTGTATGATGACCACACACCGTACAATCTGATTGTACCGTCTTCTGTATGATGACCACACACACGTACAATCTGATTGTACCGTCTTCTGTATGATGACCACACACCGTACAATCTGATTGTACCGTCTTCTGTATGATGGCCACACACACTGTACAATCTGATTGTACCGTCTTCTGTATGATGACCACACACTGTAAATCAATCTGATTGTACCGTCTTCTGTATGATGACCACACACACTGTACAATCTGATTGTACCGTCTTCTGTATGATGGCCACACACACCGTACAATCTGATTGTACCGTCTCCTGTATGATGGCCACACACACACCGTACAATCTGATTGTACCGTCTTCTGTATGATGGCCACACACACTGTACAATCTGATTGTACCGTCTTCTGTATGATGACCACACACTGTACAATCTGATTGTACCGTCTTCTGTATGATGACCACACACACTGTACAATCTGATTGTACCGTCTTCTGTATGATGGCCACACACACCGTACAATCTGATTGTACCGTCTTCTGTATGATGGCCACACACACCGTACAATCTGATTGTACCGTCTCCTTTATGATGGCCACACACACCGTACAATCTGATTGTACC